TTGCAATTTTGAAAAGCACATTCCGAATACTCCAGACTTACGATTTTTTGTTTGGGAATGAAGTGGAATACATATTACACAACAATTTTTACCCGATTTTAATTTTCAAAATTACGCAAAAAAAATATAAATGTACTTATCTATTTTACATTATAGGTGACCAATATATTGAAAATTCTAAATTCCACCGATTTTGATTCCAAAAAATTCCAAATCATGTTTAGGACAAGATTTAAATTGGGGTCCACTTAGCTCTGGACTTCATTTGCACATTCCAATAGCCTTTTATTCTTTTACCAAGTGCCTAAATATAAGAAATATAACATAGTAGGAAGAGATAATGAGCACATTATAACAAAGATGGAATAAAAGTGTTTTCATTGATTGTGTTAACACAATACAATGATGATCTTTATAGATACAAACGATGACAAATTCTGCTTTAGAAAAATCACTAGAAGAGCATCACTTGTCTCTCAAAGTATTCCTTTTGCAGATTTGTTAGGATTCGTGGCGAACTCGCATATTGCTAATATGCCCCACGAGAGTGGTTTAGTGAATATATCGGCCATCTGATCTTTTCTTGAGAGGAATGGAACTTGTTTTCTTGAGAGGAATGCGCTCCCGAACGAAATGAAATCAATATCCTCATGTTTGGTATGATAGTGCATGATAGGATTTTTAGATAAGTATGTTGCCCCCAAATAATGACAATAGAGCGTAGGAGTAACCGAATAAGAAATTCCAAGCTCATCAACCATAACAGCAATTCACAAGTAACATGAGCAATAATTTTGTCTCAACTTCGGTACTTGATCGAGCAACAGTGAATTGCCTTTTCAAACTCCAAGAGATCAAGATTCTGCCCTAGAACACACAATAATCTCTTGTAGATTTAAGTTATTTGGAGAACCGGCCCAGTCCATATCACTAAAAGCTGATTGAGGGTGGTGGTGCTAATTGGATTGCAATTGAATATATACCTGCTCGTTGTAGAAGGTCCAATATATATTTATGCTATGATAAATAAAGCCACGAAGAAGATAGTGAACACTCCAATCCCAAGAAGTAATGCAAAACCTCTCAATTTTTAAGAGGAAAATCCAGATTAAGAATATGTTGTTGGGAATTTTATTTAATAAAATAAAATTATTTTTTGAATGAAAATAAAAAAATATTTTTAGGCACCTATTTGATCAAATAGGTGTGACAATATGAAGAGGTGTGGCCACACCTCTTTACTTGTTTAATTTCCTAAGGGCTGTGTTCATTAATCACAACCATTGGAAACTTATAAATAGAAACTCCACATGTTTGATTGATAACAACATAAAAAATCAATTCAATTCTATAATTTTGTTCTATGGAATTCTTCCTTCTTTAGCTCGGAAATATTCTTCGTAGAATATTTTCTTCCGTATTCGATTCAAGAGTTTGAGACACAAAGTAACGTTCGTTGTACTCGGGATTTTGAGTGCTCATATGCCGAGTTAGCCGTTGTATCTTGGGAGACACTTGCCAAATAACCGTAAGCACCGTAGCGGGGCAATATTGTCTTAGGAAAGAGTTTTCTCGCCTCGGCTAATCTTTTCGTATTTCGACTAATTTATTTGATCATTTTACTAAATCACTACCCGTTTTATGTATCGGGAACAACATATGTATCAATGTTGATATTGACTTTTAACATGAGTGAGTAACCAACATATCGTCGACCTATACAATAAAGTATATGACTACTGAATTATGCTCATAAATACAGATATAATTATTAGATTTGACATTACAAAACCAACTTCAAGAATACGAGAACTGAGCCAAGATGCTCGTAGAGCTTGTTTGAGACCGTATAAGGCCCGATTCAATTTATAAAAACAAATTGGGGATATTTGAGGTGCACAAATCTTGGAGTTTGTTTCATATAAATTGTTTCATCGAAAAGGCCATGTAGAAATGCATTTTAACTTCAATTTCATCAATTTTGACCCAAAAAAAATATACAATTTTGACCTAACCGGTGATAGTAATATTACTGTCAACCACATCAATATTCATTTATTTATTTTGGCTTTTTTATTTTGTTTGATCTATTGACCAATCAACGTAATAATATTACTGTCTACTATTGTAATATTACTGTGACAGTGAAATTACTGTAAACACAATAATATTACTATCAACCACATTAATTTTTTATTTTGGTTTTTTTATTTTTATTTTGTTGGTTTGTTGAACGGTCGACGTAATAATATTACTGTCTACTATTGTAATATTATTGTGGTTGACAGTAAAATTACTGTATACATAATAATATTACTGTCGTTACAATAATATTAATATCAACTAATATTACTGTCAACCATAACAATTTATTGTTTTTTTTTTATTTTTTTTTATGTTTGTCTTTGTTGACCGGTCAACATAACAATATTATTGTATTACAAAAAAAATATTATGTAACTTAGTGTTTTTGTTATGTTAATATTATTGTGCTAGATAGTAATATAGCAATATGACTGTGTTAAGCAGTAATATAGTTAGTATTGCTGTCAACCACATTAATATTACTGTATTTTACGGCGCCCAAACAATGTTCAGGAATTTATTTTTTTTTATAAAAAAAGTCAACCCGGAGATTGGTGTTGATTGCCAGTAGCAAGAAAAAAAAGGCATCAAGGAAAAAAAAAGTCAACATCGATGATTGGCGGTCAACGACGGCTAACCAATGGTGGCGATCGAAATTGGAGTCAAAATTGGGTTATGGGTCAAAACTGAATCATTGGTGAAATTTATGGTCAAATTGAGGTTAAATTGTGTAAAGTTGATGAAATTGGAGCATATTAAAATGTGATGGGGTATTTTATCTTTTACACACATCTTTTTGGTAAGGTCCTCTTTATGAATAAATAAGTAGGCCATGATAAACTTATTTGTATTAGCCCCTTAATATTAAATAATACATTTACTAACAACGTAAGCTTTTGGTTGAGGTGGTCATTCGACATGGTTGTAGCAATAAATTTTTATCTGCGATTTAAATAAAACAAGAAAAATACTTGCACAAAGATATTTTTTATTGAATTAAAATAATTACAAACTCTAATTTAATCATTTGATTCTTCTCTCAGGAACAATATATGTTGACTTTGAATTTCGGAGTTGGGTCGTTGACTTGACCTTCTCCGGATTTTATTTTGAACTTGAATAACGTTTTCTGAGGGTCTTGTGACTTGAATCTCGGATCGAACACGCTGAACTTTGATGAACTTTGACTTAAAGATCTTGATCGATTTTTCTCTTCAATCTTCCTTCGATCTTGATTTGCTTTAACGCCTTGAATTTGATGAAAAACGCCTTGAATATTGTAGGGAGAATTTTCTCCTACGATTTTTCTTCTTCTTGAGTTGTGTCTTGAATTGTGAAGGGAGGCTCCCTATTTATAGTGGTAGAATAAGAGTCCTAGATAAATCTTCTCTGATGACGTGACACGATTTGATTGAATCTCCTTAAATTGATATTTATCTCTTATATTAAATTTACGTGTCTATAAATAGGTTGCCTGTTTGGCTTATTTTCATGGACGAATTTTGATAATAAATTGAGATTATTCTCGTTTGATTCTTCAATAACTTTTCGAACATATTGGAGGATTCCGTTTGTTCACCCCGACTTATCAATCGATCTTTCACAATCGATTGTGGTGTCTTCACATACCAAGGTTCTTGCTTCTTAATAAGCAACGCGTCGCGGTTCCACCCTTTTGAATCTTTGTTTTTGGATGTTTCTATTTTGCTTCCTCGCTAGGTATTTGGATCCTGTAACAAGTTCTACGGGGTTCGTATTGAATCAGGCCTTTAATGGAAACTGATACGATACCCGTATACCTTGTCACGAGACCCATATTCCTTACGCGGAAGCCAAATT